CCCATCTCAGCCCTGCTCAGCACAGTTAGCTCAGCTCAGCCCTGCTCAGCCCAGTTAGCTCAGCTCAGCCCAGCTCAGCCCTGCTCAGCCCAGTTAGCTCATCTCAGCCCTGCTCAGCCCAGTTAGCTCAGCTCAGCTCAGCCCAGCCCAGCTCAGCCCTGCTCAGCTTAGCCCAGATCAGCCCTGCTCAGCCCAGTTAGCTAAGCTCAGCCCACCCCAGCTCAGCTCAGCCCAGCTCAGCTCTGCTCAGCCCACCTCAGCCCTGCTCAGCCCAGTTAGCTCAGCTCAGCCCAGCTCAGCTCTGCTCAGCCCTGCTCAGTTCTGCTCAGCCCACCTCAGCCCTGCTCAGCCCAGTTAGCTCAGCTCAGCCCAGCTCAGCCCTGCTCAGCCCAGTTAACTCAGCTGAGCCCAGCTCAGCTGAGCCCATCTCAGCCCTGCTCAGCACAGTTAGCTCAGCTCAGCCCTGCTCAGCCCAGTTAGCTCAGCTCAGCCCGGCCCAGCTCAGCCCTGCTCAGCCCAGTTAGCTCAGCTCAGCTCTGCTCAGCCCTGCTCAGCCCAGTTAGCTCAGTTCAGCCCAGCTCAGCTCAGCCCAGCTCAGCCCTGCTCAGCCCAGTTAGCTCAGCCCAGCTCAGCTCAGCCCAGCTTAGCCATGCTCAGCCTAGTTTGCTCAGCTCAGCCCAGCTCAGCCCAGTTAGCTCAGCTCAGCCCTGCTCAGCTCAGCCCTGCTCAGCCCAGTTAGCTCAGCTCAGCCCAGCTCAGCCCTGCTCAGTCCAGTTAGCTCAGCTCAGCCCAGCTCAGCCCTGCTCAGCGCAGTTAGCTCAGCTCATCCCAGCTCAGCCCTGCTCAGCCCAGTTAGCTCAGCTCAGCCCAGCTCAACTCTGCTCAGCCCTGCTCAGCCCAGTTAGCTCAGTTCAGCCCAGCTCAGCTCAGCCCAGCTCAGCCCTGCTCAGCCCAGTTAGCTCACCTCAGCCCTGCTCAGCCCAGTTAGCTCAGCTCAGCCCATCCCAGCTCAGCTCAGCCCCGCTCAGCTCAGCCCAGTTAGCTCAGCTCAGCCCTGCTCAGTTCAGCCCTGCTCAGCTCAGTTAGCTCAGCTCAGCCCAGCTCAGCTCTGCTCAGCCCTGCTCAGCTCTGCTCAGCCTACCTCAGCCCTGCTCAGCCCAGTTAGCTCAGCTCAGCCCAGCTCAGTCCTGCTCAGCCCAGTTAGCTCAGCTCAGTCCTGCTCAGTCCAGTTAGTTCAGCTCAGCCCTGCTCAGCTCAGCCCTGGTCAAACCAGTTAGCTCAGCTCAGCCCAGCTCTGCCCTGCTCAGCCCAGTTAGCTCAGCTCTGCCCAGCTCAGCTCAGCCCATCTCAGCCCTGCTCAGCACAGTTAGCTCAGCTCAGAACTGCTCAGCCCTGCTCAGCCCAGTTAGCTCAGCTCAGCCCAGCTCAGCCCTGCTCAGCCCAGTTAGCTCAGCTCAGCCCTGCTCAGCTCAGCCCTGCTCAGCCCAGTTAGCTCAGCTCAGCCCAGCTCAGCCCTGGTCAGCCCATTTAGCTCAGCTCTGCCCAGCTCAGCCCTGCTCAGCCCAGTTAGCTCAGCTCAGCCCTGCTCAGCCCTGCTAAGCCCAGTTAGTTCAGCTCAGCCCTGCTCAGCCCAGTTAGCTCAGCTCAGCCCTGCTCAGCCCTGCTCAGCCCTGCTCAGCCCTGCTCAGCCCAGCTCAGCCCAGTTCAGCCCTGCTCAGCCCAATTAGCTCAGCTCAGCCCAGCTCAGCTCAGCCCAGCTCAGCTCTGCTCAGCCCACCTCAGCCCTGCTCAGCCCAGTTAGCTCAGCTCAGCCCTGCTCAGCTCAGCCCTGGTCAACCCAGTTAGCTCAGCTCAGCCCATCTCAGCCCTGCTCAGCATAGTTAGCTCAGCTCAGCCCTGCTCAGCCCAGTTTCCTCAGCACAGCCCAGCTCAGCCCTGCTCAGCCCAGTTAGCTCAGCTCAGCCCTGCTCAGCTCAGCCCAGCTCAGCTCAGCTCAGCCCAGCTCAGCCCTGCTCAGCCCAGTTAGCTCAGCTCAGCCCAGCTCAGCCCTGCTCAGCCCAGTTAGCTCAGCTCAGCCCTGCTCAGCTCAGCCCAGCTCAGCTCAGCTCAGCCCAGCTCAGCCCTGCTCAGCCCAGTTAGCTCAGCTCAGCCCTGCTCAGCCCAGTAGCTCAGCTCAGCCCAGCTCAGCCCTGCTCAGTCCAGTTAGCTCAGCTCAGCCCCCCTCACCCCTGCTCAGCCCAGTTAGCTCAGCTCAGCCCAGCTCAGCCCTGCTCAGCCCTGCTCAGCCCAGTTAGCTCAGCTCAGCCCAGCTCAGCCCTGCTCAGCCCAGTTAGCTCAGCTCAGCCCCCCTCAGCCCTGCTCAGTCCAGTTAGCTCAGCTCAGCCCCCCTCTGCTCTGCTCAGTCCAGTTAGCTAAGCTCAGCTCAGCCCAGCTCAGCTCAGCCCAGCTCAACCCTGCTCAGCCCAGTTAGCTCAGCTCAGCCCAGCTCAGCCCTGCTCAGCCCAGTTAGCTCAGCTCAGCCCAGCTCAGCTCAGCCCAGCTCAGCCCTGCTCAGCCCAGTTAGCTCAGCTCAGCCCAGCTCAGCCCTGCTCAGCCCAGTTAGCTCAGCTCAGCCCAGCTCAGCCCTGCTCAGTCCAGTTAGCTCAGCTCAGCCCCCCTCAGCCCTGCTCAGCCCAGTTAGCTCAGCCCTGCTCAGCCCAGTTAGCTCAGCTCAGCCCAGCTCAGCCCTGCTCAGTCCAGTTAGCTCAGCTCAGCCCCCCTCAGCCCTGCTCAGCCTAGTTAGCTCAGCTCAGCCCAGCTCAGCCCTGCTCAGCTCTGCTCAGCCCAGTTAGCTCAGCTCAGCCCAGCTCAGCCCTGCTCAGCTCTGCTCAGCCCAGTTAGCTCAGCTCAGCCCAGCTCAGCCCTGCTCAGCTCTGCTCAGCCCCGTTAGCTCAGCTCAGCCCAGCTCAGCCCTGCTCAGCTCTGCTCAGCCCAGTTAGCTCAGCTCAGCCCAGCTCAGCCCTGCTCAGCCCAGTTAGCCCAGCTCAGCCCTCCTCAGCTCAACCCTGCTCAGCCCAGTTATCTCAGTTCAGCCCAGCTCAGCCCTGGTCACCCCTGCTCAGCCCAGCTCAGCGCTGCTCAGCCCAGTTAGCTCAGCTCATCCCAGCTCAGCCTGGTTAGCCCAGCTCAGCCCAGTCTGCCAGGTTCAGCCCAGTTCTGGCTAGATCAGCCTAGTTAATACTGACCAGATCATTCCAGGACAATCTAATCCATCTGCTCTCAGGCCAGTGTAGTCTGCTCAGCCTGGGTCAGCCCAACTCAGCCTGACTCAACCCAGTTCTTCCTGGTTCAGCTCAGCAGCTGTCCACCCCGGTCCTCTTCAGCCCAGTTCGGTCTGGCTAGTGCTGTGAAACCGACTTGTTCCGCCTGGCTCTGGTCACTCAGCTCACCCAGTCGATCCTGTGCTCTGCTCCCTGCAGCCTGTGCCCGGCTCTTCCCCGCGGGCAGATGGGGCCAGGAGAGCCGACACCCACCTGCGTGTTCTGGGGGTCCGGGTGCCCTGCAGGTCCGCCTGTCCTCAGTAGCCCCTGACCCACTTTGAGTGGTGCGACTGAAGCTGTGAGGGGCTCTCCAGGGAGGGACAGTGTCTGCCCACAAATGGGGTCCCTCGTCCACTTCCTGCCCGACGGCGGCCTCAGACAACCGTCTGCTCTGTGATCAGGCTGTGGCGGGGCAGGTGTATGTGGCCGGGGCTGTGGTCCTTGGGAACCTGTCTGGCTAGGTCATGCGGCCACCGATGGGTCTGGGCGGGGGCCCCTGGGGGCCACTGTGGTCAGGAATGTTAGCATGTGACTGTGTTTCTGTGTGTGTCTGAGTGTGAATGTACCAGTGTACCAGGGTGTGTGTCTGTGAGTGCGAGTTTGTGTGTGAGTGCGTATCCAAGTGTGTCTCAGTGTGCCACTGGGTCCGAGTGTGAATGTACCAGTGTACCAGGGTGTGTGTCTGTGAGTGTGTTTGTATGTGAGAGTATGTCTCTGTGTGTCTGAGTGTGCCTCTGGGTCCAAGTGTGAATGTACCAGTGTACCAGGGTGTGTGTCTGTGAGCACGAGTTTGTATGTGAGTGTATCTCTATGTGTGTCTGAGTGTGCCTCTGAGTCTGAGAGTAAATATACCAGGGTGTGTGTCTGTGAGTGCGAGTTTGTATGTGACTGTGTCTCTGTGTGTGTGTTTGAGTGTACCTCTGAGTCTGAGTGTGAATGTACAAGTGTGTGTGTCTGTGTGAGTTTGTATGTAACTGTGTCTCTGTGTGTGTCTGAGTGTGCCTCTGAGTCCAAGTGTGAATGTACGAGTGTGTGTGTTTGTGCGAGTGTGTATCCGAGTGTGTCTGAGTGTGAGTGCTGAGCCTGTGTGAGCAGGGGAGGGCAGAGGTGTGGTCTTGACTTCCAGATGTTCTTCCGGGATGAGCCCGCGTCTGCCCAGCCGGGCAGGGCATGGGCAGCAGGGTCACGGCTGGACTGCATCTGGTACCATGGCCCTGCCCCAGTGCCATCCTGTCTGTGGCCTTTCGGATGCCCCCTTCCCGCCTTGGCCCTGGGGTCCCCTCGGGTGTGGGGGACTGCTCACAGGGCACTGCTCTGTGCTGTGTTCTGGATCCCGCAGAGACCCTCGCATCTGTGGGAACTGGAGGCCAGCATGGTGGGCACATAGGGACAGGGGCTGTCCTGGGGTCCGAGAGATGCCCCTCCCTCTGTTCTCCCACAAGTCACCTCCCAGCTCCCGCACGGTGGCAGGAACCCTCAGGCAGAGGATGTGGAAAGACCTTTACTTGGCCCCAAGGGAAGGGACAGGACAGCAGGGTGTCAGGGCTGGGCCCGGGGGGTGGCACGGCCCGAGGGGCTGGACGGGAGGGCTGGCAGGGCCTCCCAGGGGCCGCCCGGCTGGCTCCACCGGCTCTGAGGACACGGTGCTGAGGGGCCGTGCGGCGGGCTCTGCCGTCCAGGGCTGGTGCTTCCTCCTGGGCACTACGCTGCCGGCCACGGGATGTTGCTGTAGTCATGGGAGGTCTTGGGGGGCTCCTGCGCCCCCACCGTCAAGGCCCGGTGCACCTGCGGGGGGGTGGGGACTCAGGGCTGCCCTCTGGGGGCACCCCTGTGCCCCCGCGGCCCTGTGCCCACCTTGCAGAGGGTGACGGCGGCACCGTAGCCAACGCTGAGCTTGAAGAGGGTGATGAAGGCGAGGAGGCTGTTCCACAGCCCGGCCAGCTCCAGGCTCTCGGCCGCGTCCACGCACATGTCCTGCAGCACCAGCTCTGCGGGCACTGACTGTCAGCCAGCCTGGAGGGGCTCCGGCCCTACCTGCCCCCGCCTGCCCCTGCATCCCACCTCCCAGGACCTCAGCCTTGCTGGTCACCAGGCCAGCATGCCTGGGTCCTCCCCTCCTCTCCTGGCCATCTGGGGACCCCCAGAGTGGCAGGAACCCCCCGAAGGAGAGGGGGAGCGGGACTGTGGGAGCCCACAGCCGCCCCACTGCCCCCACGGTCCCCGTGTATATCTGCCAAACCGGGGGCGGGCATGGTGGCTGGCTCTGTGGGATGAGGCATGCCACGGGCCACGTGGTCCTGCACCCAATGTGTTCATAAGTGTGCTCTGTGTCTGTCCACGTGCGGGCGTACTTGTGTGTGCATGTGTGTATGCATGTCTGTGTGGAAACTCCTGTGTGTCAATATGTCACGTGTTTATGCATGTGCATATCTGAGTATGTGCTGGTATTCATGGGGAGCTGGATGTGCAGTGACCGAAAGGGACCTCTGGGGAAGAGTGTCCCACCTCCCCTGACCCATGATGTGGGGGAAGGGCCGGGGTGGCCTGGATAGTGTGTTGGGGGCTAAGTGTGGGGCATGTATGAGGCAAGTATGGGGACATGTGTGTGTGGGCATGTGTGGGGGGCGCCATGTGAGGGACTGTGGGGGGGCATGTGTGCGGGGGGGCATGTGTGTATGTGGCCATGAGTGTGGCCATGTGTGGGGCAATGTGGGGCATGTGTGTTTGGGGGCCTTGTGTGAGGGCATGTGTGTATGTGGCGGAGCATGTGTGTATGTGTGGCCATATGTGTGTGTGGCCATGTGTGAAGGCATATGTGTGTGGGGGGGCCATTTTGGGGGAACATGTGTGTATGTGGCCATGTCTGGGGCAATGTGTGTGTGGGGGCCTTGTGTGAGGGCATATGTATGTCTGTGGGGCCATGTGGGGGACATATGTGTGTGTGTGGGGTCAGGTGGGAGGCATGTGTGTGTGGGGGGCATGCATATATGTGGCCATGCGTGTGGCTATGTGTGAGGGCATGTGTGGGGCAATGTGTGTGTGGCCATGTGTGAGGACATGTGTGTGTGTGGAGGGGCCATGTGGGGGATGTGTGTGTGGGGGCATGTGTGGGGGAGCATGTGTGTGTGTGTGGGGGCATGTGTGAGGGCATGTGTGTGTGGGGGCCTGTGGGGGGCATGTGTGTGTGGGGGGCATGTGTATATGTGGCCATGTGTGAGGCCATGTGTGGGGCAATGTGTGTGTGTGTGGCCGTGTGTGGGGGCATGTGCGTGTGTGGGGGGCCATGCATGTGGGGCCGTTTGTGTGAGGGGCCATGCGTGTGGCTTCGTGTGTGGGGCTGCCTGAGGGTGCTTGGAGGAGCCGTGTGCCCTGGCAGGTGCCTGACCGAGGCGGGGTAGGTTGGTGGCCGTGTGGCGACAGGTGGGGGAGGTGCTTCTGGGAGCTGCTCCATCTCCCCAGGCCGCTCTGGTGGCCGTGGGCCCTGGTGTGTCTGGCTGGACTTGGGGGGAGGCTGAGCGTTGACCCAGGCTGGGCGTCAGGGGCCCGTCCCCAGGAGCCCCGAGAATGTGGCCAGAACGCAGGGCTCAGCGTGTTTATTGTCCCCGGGGAGGGTGGCAGCCCCACGGCCGCTCATTTACCGCGGGCCTTGGACAGCGACCGGTCCAGCGTGCGGGGCTGGGGCAGCGCCTCGTGCACGGCCCGGCAGGAGAAGGTGGTGCCCTTCTCCCAGTCCTGCCGGGCCACCTCCAGGCGGCTGAAGACGAAGAAGCGGGTCCCGGCTCTGCTCATCGGCTGCGGCTGCGTGGTGGCCTGATGCTCCGCAACCACGTGGGGCTGGTCCTGCAGCCACAGCACCGAGATGTCCGCGGGGAAGAAGTTCTGGACCAGGCAGGTGAGGGTCACCTTGTCCGTGCTGGCCGCACCCTCATCTGGAGTCTTGAACACGTAGATCTCAGGGGCTGCCCGCTGGCCTGTGGGAGGGCGAGGTCAGCCCCGCTCAGCCCCACTCTGTCCCATCGGGCTCACGGCCCGCCCCGCCCTCGGCAGGCCCCGCCCACTCCCCGCCCCGCCCACAACCCACTCCGGTCCCGCCCTCGCCCCGCCCACCCCCCTTGCTGACACCCCCGCCCAGCTCTGCCCTCGACCAGGTCCTGCTCAGGCCCCTCCCCAGCCCTGCCCTGCCCTGCCTCACCGGCTCACATCCTGCCCTGCCCCCGCCCCCTCCTCATGCCCTGTCCCCCTCGCACCCCCTTGCCCCACCCACCCCTGCCCATGCCCCAGGCCCAGCCCCACCCTCACCCGCCCCTTCCCCCCACCTTGCCCTCGCCCCGCCCACTTTCCCCTCGCCCCGCCCACTTAGCCCTCGCCCCGCCCACCCGCTCACCCCGGGTCTTGGTGAGGGAGCGCACGATCTTCCTGGGCAGGTCCGGATGCTCCAGCACGCACTGGAATGTCTCGCCCTCCACCCAGTCCTGGGTGAGCACGGCCAGGGTGGACGTGACACTCAGGGTGCCATTGTGGTGCCGCTTCGTGAATGTCATGGCTTTTCCGGTGGAGGTTTTGCCCCCCTGCAGCCACCTGAGGCTCATGCCGTCCTCCCGGGCCAGGTCCACCACCAGGCACGTGAGCTTGGGCGCCTTCTGCACGTACAGCTCGACAGGGCTGGGCGGGCTCAGGTAGACGCGCACGCCGCGGGGCTCAGGGTCTGGGGGTTGCAAGGTCAGTGTGAGCCCCGGGGAGCCTGGGGGCCAGGCGGGCCGGCAGGGCGGGCGGGCAGTAGGGGCGTACCTGAGCACTTGCGGGCGTGCTCCTCAAAGTTGTGGCCTTCGTAGGTGGCCCGGCAGGTGTAGGTCCTCTCCAAGACCCACTGGCCCTGGGTGATGTTGACCTCGCTGTAGGTGGACAACAACCCGTCCTCCTGCTTCAGGGTGCCCACGTTGGCTATGCTGTCGGACTTGTTCTTGTCCACCAGCCAGGTGACGTTGACGTTGTCGGCAAGGACGCCCAGGATGAGGCACAGGAGCTGGATGGGGGTGCTGGTGTCGCCGCTGGGGTTGCAGGAGGAGTGGAAGAGCTTACGGTGAGGCGGGGGATGTTATTGCGGCAGGCTGGGTGGAGGGGGGGAGTTGGCGCCAGAGGCCCCCAGACTCACTCCTACACCCGGACGAGCCCCCGGCTGCGCTGCTCACCTGAGAAGGTCCTGTTGGAGGGCGGGGACGCCCCATGCGCCACACTGCAGGTGAAGGTCCCCGAGGCCTGTGCCCCCGGGACTCTCAGCTGGCTGACGGTGGTGTAGAGGCCAAGGAGTGCAGGGAGGCGGGGAGGGTGACCGTGCTGCTCTGCAGGGCACCTGTGTCCCAGGTCACGGCCACAGGCTCCGGGAAGAAGCTGGTGACCAGGCAGCCGAGCACCACAGCCGAGGCGGCAGCAGCATCTTTGCAGCAGGAAGCCAAGGGGAAGACGGATGGGGCCTTGCTGGACACTGGGGCAAGGATGGTGAGTGTGAACGCGGGCACTACCTGGCATCTGCAGCCCAGCCTTGGCCCTGGCTTCTCCCTTCCTGGTCCCTGTCCGGGGCACTGGACCCTTTATGGATCTGGGCATCTTACTCCCCTCTGATGCTGCTGAGTCCCTGCGTGCCTGAGGTTCCGTGACGGGCCCAGAGCAGCCTGGGCCAGCAGCCCACCTCGTCCCCGCTGGGATCAGGAAGCGCCTGGGGTGCTGGGGGTCACTGCCCTCCTGTGGGCCCCACTGGGTCAGGGGCCCCAGAACCCCCAAGCCCCCGGGCTCCCCCTTTCCACCCCAGGCTGGGGGCAGAGGTCCCTTCTGGGCCCTCAGTGCGTCTGCAGCTACCCCGCCCCAGGTCCTGTCCCTGCTGGGGCTCAACTGCGCAGCCCCCATGCACACCCTCTATGGGTTAGCCTGGTGCTGCCCCTTACCGCTCGTGTCAACGGGCTGACCTCTACACCCACGCAAGGGTCCAGGGCCCCATGAAATCGCCCCTCAACCCTCCTCAGGTGAGGCGGCCTTCACACCACATTGGGCTCCTTGGTCTGAGATTAACAAGCTTGATTCCTCGGCTTGACTCCCACCTCACTTAGAACACCCGAGAACAGCTGCTTCCTCAGGTCCCGCTTTGAGGAGGATAGGGCCTTCATCAGCCGAGCTGAGCCTGCCTATGTCAGCTCTGTCCAGGTATACCCAGCTCAGGCCAGCTCAGTCCTGCTAAGTCTAGCTAAGCCCAGTTCAGCCCAGCTCCGTCCAGCTCAGTCCTGCTCAGTCTAGCTAAGTCCAGCTCAACCCAGCTCAGCCTAGTTCAGTCCAACACACTATGCTCAGTCTTGGTCATCCCAGCATAACCCAGCTTAGTCGAGCTCAGCCCAGCTTAGCCCTAAAGTTACCTAGGCTCAGCCCTGATAAGTCCTGCTCGGGCCAGTTAGCTCAGCTTAGCTCAGCCTAGCTCAGTCCAGCTCAGCCAAGCTCAGCCCAGCTCAGCCCAGTTCAGCCGAGCTCTGTTCTGCTCAGCCCAGCTAAGTGCAGCTAAGTCCTGCTCAGCCCAGTTTAGTCCTGCTCAGCCCAGCTGAGTCCTTCTCAGCTCAGCTCAGCCCAGCTCAGTTCTGCTCAGCCCAGCCCAGCCTAGCTCAGCCCAGCTCAGTCCAGCTCAGCCCAGCTCAGTCCAGCTCAGCCCAGCTCAGTCCTGTTCAGCTCAGCTCAGTCCAGCTCAGTCCAGCCCAGTCCTGCTCAGCTCAGCTCAGTCCAGCTCAGTCCTGTTCAGCCCAGCTCAGTCCAGCTCAGCCCATCTCAGTTCTGCTCAGCCCAGCTCAGTCCAGCTTAGTCCAGCTCAGTCAGCCCAGCTCAGCCCAGCTCAGTCCTGCTCAGCCCAGATCAGTCCAGCTCAGCCCAGCTCAGTCCTGCTCAGCCCAGCTCAGTCCTGCTCAGCCCAGCTCAGTCCAGCTCAGTTCAGCTCAGTCAGCCTAGCTCAGTGCAGCTCAGTCCTGCTCAGTCCTGCTCAGCCCAGCTCAGTCCTGCTCAGACCTGTTCAGCCCAGCTAGTCCAGCTCAGCCCAGCTCAGTCCAGCTCAGTGCAGCTCAGCCCAGCTCAGCCCTAAAGTTCTTTCAACTCAGCCCTGCTGAGCCCTGCTCAGCCCAGTTAGCTCAGCCCAGCTCAGTCCTGCTCAGCCTAGCTCAACCCTGCTCAGTCCTGCACAGTCTTGCTCAGTCCAGCTCATCCCAGCTCATCCTAGCTCAGCCCAGTTAGCTCAGCTCAGCCCAGCCGAGCCCAGCCTAGCTCAGCCCAGCTCAGCCCAGATCAGTGCAGCTCAGTCCAGCTCAGTCAGCCAGCTCAGTCCAGCTCAGCCCAGCTCAGTCCTGCTTAGCCCAGCTCATCCCAGCTCAATCCTGCTCAGTCCAGCTCAGTCCAGTTCATCCCAGCTCATCCCAGCTCAGCCCTAAAGTTCGCTCAGCTCAGCCCTGATAAGCCCTGCTCATCCCAGTTAGCTGAGCTCAGCCCAGCCCAGCCCAGCCTAGCTCAGCCCAGCTCAGCCCAGCTCAGTCCTGCTCAGCCCAGCTCAGTCCAGCTCAGCTCAGATCAGTCCTGCCCAGCTCAGCCCTAAAGTTCGCTCAGCTCAGCCCTGATAAGCCCTGCTCAGCCCAGTTAGCTCAGCCCAGCTCAGTTCTGCTTAACCCAGATCATCCCAGCTCAGTCCTGCTTAACCCAGATCATCCCAGCTCATACTGCTCAGCCCAGCTCAGTCCTGCTCAGTCCAGCTCAGTCCAGCTCAGCCCAGCTCAATCGAGCTCAGTCAGCTCAGCTCAGTCCAGCTCAGCCCAGCTCAGTCTTGCTCAGTCCAGCTCAGCCCAACTCAATCCAGCTCAGTCAGCTCAGCTCAGCTCAGCTCAGTCCAGCTCAGCCTAGCTCAGCCCAGCTCAGTCCAGATCAGTCCAGCTCAGCCCAGATCAATCCAGCTCAGTCAGCCCAGCTCAGTCCTGCTCAGTCCAGCTCAGCCCAACTCAATCCAGCTCAGTCAGTTCAGCTCAGCCCAGCTCAGTCCAGCTCAGCCCAGCTCAGCCCAGCTCAGTCCAGATCAGTCAGCTCAGCTCAGTCCAGCTCAGTCCAGCTCAGTCCTGCTCAGCCCAGTTCAGTCCAGCTCAGTCCTGCTCAGCCCAGCTCAGTCCTGCTCAGCCCAGCTCAGTCCTGCTCAGTCCAGCTCAGCCCAGCTAGTCCGGCTCAGCCCAGCTCAGTCCAGCTCAGCCTAGCTCAGTCCAGCTCAGTCAAGCTCAGTCCAGGTCAGCCCAGCTCAATCCAGCTCAGTCAGCCCAGCTCAGTCCTGCTCAGTCCAGCTCAGCCCAACTCAATCCAGCTCAGTCAGCTCAGCTCAGCCCAGCTCAGTCCAGCTCAGCCCAGCTCAGCCCAGCTCAGTCCAGATCAGTCAGCTCAGCTCAGTCCAGCTCAGTCCAGCTCAGTCCTGCTCAGCCCAGTTCAGTCCAGCTCAGTCCTGCTCAGCCCAGCTCAGTCCTGCTCAGCCCAGCTCAGTCCTGCTCAGTCCAGCTCAGCCCAGCTAGTCCGGCTCAGCCCAGCTCAGTCCAGCTCAGCCTAGCTCAGTCCAGCTCAGTCAAGCTCAGTCCAGGTCAGCCCAGCTCAATCCAGCTCAGTCAGCCCAGCTCAGTCCTGCTCAGTCCAGCTCAGCCCAACTCAATCCAGCTCAGTCAGCTCAGCTCAGCCCAGCTCAGTCCAGCTCAGCCCAGCTCAGCCCAGCTCAGTCCAGATCAGTCAGCTCAGCTCAGTCCAGCTCAGTCCAGCTCAGTCCTGCTCAGCCCAGTTCAGTCCTGCTCAGTCCTGCTTAGCTCAGCTCAGTCCTGCTCAGCCCAGCTCAGTCCAGCTCAGTCCTGCTCAGTCCAGCTCAGTCCTGCTCAGTCCTGCTCATCCCAGCTGAGTCCTACTCAGTCCATCTCAGTCCAGTTAGCTAGCCTAGCTCAACCTAGCTCAGCCCAGCTCAGTCCAGCTCAGCCCAGTTCAGCCCGACTCAGTCCAGTTCAATCCAGCTTAGTCCAGCTCATCCCAGCTCATTCTAGGTCAGCCCAGCCCACTCCTGCTCAGCCCAGCTCCGTCCAGCTCAGTCCTGCTCAGCCCAGCTCAGTCCAGCTCTGTCCAGCTCAGTCCTGCTCAGCTCAGCCCTGCTCAGCCCACCTCAGTCTAGCTCAGTCCTGCTCAGCCCAGCTCAGTCCAGCTCAGTCCTGCTCAGCCCAGCTCAATCCAGCTCAGTCCAACTCAGTCCTGTTCAGCCCAGCTCAGTCCAGCTCAGTCCAGCTCAGCCCAGCTCAGTCCAGCTCAGTCCAGCTCAGTCCTGCTCAGTCCTGCTCAGCCCAGCTCGGCCCAGTTCATTCCTGCTCATCCCAGCTGAGTCCTACTCAGCCCGTCTCAGCCCAGTTAGCTAGCCCAGCTCAGCCTAGCTCAGCCCAGCTCAGTCCAGCTCAGCCAGTTCAGCCCAACTCAGTCCAGCTCAATCCAGCTGAGTCCAGTTCATCCCAGCTCACTCTAGGTCAGCCCAGCCCATTCCTGTTCAGCCCAGCTCAGTCCAGCTCAGCCCAGCTCAGTCCAGCTTAGTCCTGCTCAGCTCAGCCCTGCTCAGCCCAGTTCAGTCCAGCTCAGCCCAGCTCAGCCCAGCTCAGTCCAGCTCAGCCCAGCCCAGTCCTGCTCAGTCCAGCTCAGCCCAGCCCAGTCCTGCTCAGTCCAGCTCAGCCCAGCCCAGTCCTGCTCAGTCCAGCTCAGCCCAGCCCAGTCCTGCTCAGTCCAGATCAGCCCAGACCAGTCCTGCTCAGTTCTAGCAGGAGCTCTCCCAGTCCTTCTCTGTCCAGCTCTGTCTTGCTTAGTTCTCAGCCCAGCCCAGCGGCTCAGTCCTGACAGCTCAGCCCAATTCAGAGCACTGCAGTGCAGCTAGCTCAGCCCAGCCCTGCCCCGCCCAGTCTGTCTGTCTCTACTCTGAGAGTGTCCCCTTCCCTGTGAGTGTCTGTCCCTCTGTCACCGTCTGACTTCGTCCCTGTCTGCCCCTGCTGCAGTGGCCCAGGCAGATGCGCTTGTCCTGCATGGACCTGTGACAGTGGTTGTGTCCACAGGTCGCCCACGATGGGGTCTCTGGCATCCCAGTATCGTCCTAGCTGTGGGTGCAGGAGGAGGGCGGGTGCTGGCGACAGGCAAACCGTCTGGGGATGGAGCAGGACCCCTGAGCCTGTGGCGATGGGGAGGATCACCTCACAGCCCAAGCAGGAATGGGCAGGCAGCAGCCCAGGGTGACCAGGCGTGGATGGGCCTGGTGTGAAGGGAATGGAATGGCCTAGTGTGACTGGGCGTGTATGGGGCTTGGTGTGACCGGGTGTGGATGGGGCCTGGTATGACTTGGCAGATGTTGGCTGTTTGGTCCGGGCCTGCCCATGGCTGACTTGGCTGACGTTGCTTGTGTCCAGCAGGTCCAGCAGGCCAGCCTCATTCCTCTGGACCGGGTTCGACCTCCTAAGCCAGGCCCGGTCCGTGGCGGCTGACACAGCGGCCTGGCCCTCCAACTCCCCGGCTGGTGCCGCGGCCCAGTCCCCTGCCCAGGCCCACCTGCCTGGCGTGGCTTTGGGACTCTGGTCTCAGAATAGCGGTTTCTGCAGCTCGCTATGACTCAGAGGCCCCAGGTGCCGTGTGGGGCATTTTGGCAGGTGATGGGTGTCAGAGACAGAAAGAGAAAAACAAGAGGCGTACACGTCCGCCTCCTCCTGTCTCCCCGCACCCCTGTGGCAGGCCCGGGGCAGGGGTCTGCCCCTGGGCCCAGCAGGGATTCTCCTTGGCAGACGCACCTGAAGCCCCTGCTCAGCCCCACAGACCCCTGGGCTGGGGTCAGGGGTCAGAGGGCAAGGGGGTGAATCCTCCCAGGCCCTTCCTGAAGATTCAGCCAGTACCAGGGTCGGGAACAGGCAGGGGCAGACTGGTGGCTACTAGGAACAGGGTCCAGATTCACTGAAGGCCTGAGGTGAGGTAGGGGAGGGATGACCAGCACAGGCCTCCACAGAACATGACCAGGACTCAGGGACCAGGACAGGCCCAGTGCTGAGTCTTAGATTTGTACAGATTCTAGTGGCCAGGGTGAGGCTCCAGATAACTGCACCAGACCCAGAGATTAAACCAGAATTTAGTGACCGGGTCTAGTGACTAGGACACATGATCAGAGGACAGCTCATTCCCCAGGATAAGGGGCCCATGACCAGAAGGTGTGAGTGGCCTCAGCACTGGGGCTCACTAATCAGGATGTGGGCCAGGACCCGAACCAGGGCTGAGTGACCAGTATAAGTGATCAACAAGGCTAAGTGATGAGGACAGGGCTGAGTGGTCGACCAAGGCTGAGTGATCGGGACCAGGGCTGAGTGATCAACTAGGACTGAGTCATCAATGAGGACTGAGTGATCAACCAGGACTGAGTGATCAACTAGTGCTGAGTGACCAGGACCGGCTAAGTGATTAGGATAGGGCTGAGTGATCAACCAGGGCTGAGTCACCAATGAGGACTGGGTGACCGGGACCAGGGCTGAGTGATCATCTAAGGGCTGAGTGATTGGGACCAGGGCTGAGGGATCAACTAGGATTGAGGTATCATTGAGGGCTGAGTGGTCAGCTAGGGCTGAGTGATAAGGACCAGGGCTGAGTGATCAGGATCAGGGCTGAGTGATCGTGACCAGAGCTGAGGGATCAATTAGGACTGAGTGATCAACTAGGACTGAGTAATCAACCAGGACTGAATGATGAGTTCCAGGACTGAGTGATCGGGTCCAGGACTGAGTGATCAACCAGGACTGAGTGATCAGGATCTGGGCTGAGTGATCGAGGCCAGGGCTGAGTGATCAACCAGACTGAGTGATTAACTAAGGCTGAGTGATTGGGACCAAGGCCGAGTGATTGGGTTCAGGACTGAGTGATCAACGAGGACTGAGTGATCAGGACCTGGGCTGAGTGATCAGGACCAGGACTGAGTGATCGAGGCCAGGGCTGAGTGATTGGGACCAGAGCTGAGTGATCAACTAGGGCTGAGTGATCAACAAGGACTGAGTGATTGGGATCAGGGCTGAGTGATAGGAACCAGGGCTGAGTGATCAACTAGGGCTGAGTGGTCAACCAGGACTGAGTGATCGGGACCAGGTCTGAATGATAGAGACCAGGGCTGAGTGATCAACTAGGGCTGAGTGATCAACTAGGGCTGAGTGATAGGGACCAGGGCTGAGTGACCAACCAGGTCTGAGTGATCAGGACGTGGGCTGAGTGATCAAAGCCAGGGCTGAGTGATCAACCAGGATTGAGTGATCAACTAGGGCTGAGTGATCAATCAGGACTGAGTGATCGGAACCAGGTCTGAGTGATCGAGGCCAGGGCTGAATGATCAACAAGGACTGAGTGATCAACTAGGGCTGAGTGATCAACCAGGACTGAGTGATTGGGACCAGGGCTGAATGATAGAGACCAGGGCTGAGTGATCAACTAGGGCTGAGTGATAGGGACCAGGGCTGAGTGATCAACCAGGACTGAGTGATCAGGACCTGGGCTGAGTGATCGGGACCAGGGCTGAGTGATCCAGGCCAGGGCTGAGTGATCAACCAGGACTGAATGATCAACTAGGGCTGAGTGATCAATCAGGACTGAGTGATCGGGACCAGGGCTGAGTGATAGGGACCAGGGCTGAGTGATCAACTAGGGCCGAGTGATCAGGACTAGGGCTGAGTGATTGGGATCAGGGCTGAGTGATCAGGACCCAGGCCGAGTGATTGGGACGTAGGCTGAGTTATCAGGACCTGGGCTGAGTTATCAGACTTGTACTGAGTGATAAGGGCTTGGGCTGAGTGATCAGGACCAGGATTCAGTGACCGTGAAGTGGGGCAGAGGCAGGGTCAGCCCAGGGACCTTCAGTCTGCTCATTTCTCGCACCCTTTTCGTTGAAGCCTGTCCGGGGCTCTTGCTCAGGTGAGCGCGGGGTGGTGAGGTGGGACGCAAGAGGGAACTCAGTGCCACACGCCCTGGTCACCCCTGGCCACGCAGTGGTCTGTGCTCGGCGCATGTCCAGCCCGCCCGCAGTCGGAGCCTGGGCCCTTGGTCTCGGCACCATTTATTGCTCTGGGTGGGCTGAGTGGGGGCTGCGTGGCTGCAGTTTGCTCCCTGCGAATCCAGGAGGGATCTGGCCGTGGGCAGCGTCCGAGGCGAGCGAGTGCCCACTCCTCTGTCCAGCCCTGTGTCCGCCTGGCGGCTGGCCTGGCCATGGGGTCACCCCGGGGCGCACTGGCGGGGCCCTTGGAGCTGAGGCCCCGCGCTCCCGGTCAGTACTGGGGTCCGTCTTTGCTGCTGGCTTGTCCCCGGACACTCGTCATGGTCAGCGCGGTGCTGTAGAAGAGGCTGAGGAGGAAGAGGGTGAGCAGTGTGACGGTGGTGGGCCACAGGCTGGCTCCCGGCGCGTCCTCTTCATGCGGCATGTCGAGGATCTCCCAGCAGAACTTCTGAGAGCCTACAACACACGAAAGCCTGTGTGTGGAGCGCTGCGTGGCGCTGGGCACGCGCTTGACTCGGGATGGGAGCGGCCCTGGATGCCGGGGAGGGGAGGCATGCTTTTTGCTGCTCTGGGTTCAAGCACAAAGCGCGGCCTCCTGCGTCTCAGCCCCCAGCTCCAGGAAAGCAGCGGCAAGTCCCTGCAGCCTGAGAGCCACGAGGGTTCTAGGCGAAGTCGAGAGCGGGGCTTGGGTTCCTGGGTCCAGGGGCAGACATGCACGACCAGGCGCCCAACTCCTGCCCCTCCCCCGCCCCAACGTGGCTGAGAGGCCTGAGCTACAAGGCGGCCCAGGCAGAGGTGCCAGCAAGACAGCACAGCCCTGCTGCTCGGGGACAGGGCAGAGGTAGATGGCAGTCGGGCTGCTTGTCACACGGTGACACATCCAATCATTCACGCCTCTTCACCTCGCCCTTTTTGGGCCATGCCTGGGGGTTACTCCTGGCTCTGCACTCAGGTATTGCTCCTGGCAGGGCACAAGGGACCCTATGGGGTGCTGGGGATTGAGCCTGGACTGCCACTTGCAAGGCAAATTCCCTCCCCACTGTGCTATCACTCTGGTCCCTCACTTCTTTTCCCATCCATCCATCCATCCATCCATCCACCCATCATCCATCCATTCACCCACCCATCTATCCATCCATCCATCCATCCATCCATCCATCCATGCATTCATCCATTCTTTCCCCACCCAGCCACAGACCCATTTGTCATCCATCATTCATCCACCCACCATTTACCCACCCACCTAGCCATCCATTAATCCATTATTTATCCATCAGCTACCTACCATCTACCTATCCATCCATCCATCCATCCATCCACCCATCCGACCATCCATCCATCCATCCACCCACCCATCCATCCATCCATCCATCCATCCCTTCATCCCTCCCTCCCTCCATCCCTCCATCCATCCATCCACCCATCCAACCATCCATCCATCCATCCATCCATTCATCCATTCTTTCCCCACCCAGCCACAGACCCATTTGTCATCCATCATTCATCTACCCACCATTCATTTACCCACCCACCTAGCCGTCCATTAATCCATTATTTATCCATCAGCTACCTACCATCTACCTATCCATCCACCCATCCATCCATCCATCCATCCATCCACCCACCCATCCATCCATCCCTCCCTCCCTCCATCCATCCATCCATCCATCCTTCCATCCATCCATCCACCCATCCAACCATCCATCCATCCATTCATCCACCCATCCATCACTCCCTCCATCCATCCATCCATCCCTCCATCCATCCATCCATCCATCCACCCATCCAACCATCCATCCATCCATCCATCCACACATGCATTCATCCATTCTTTCCCCACCCAGCCACAGACCCATTTGTCATCCATCATTCATCCACCCAACCATCCATCCACCCACCCACCCACCCATTCACCCATCCATCCATCTATCCATCCATCCATCCATCCACCCATCCATCCATCTATCCACCTATCCATCCATCCCTCCATCCATCTACTCTTTACCCACCCATCCACAGACCCATTTGTCGTCCATCATTCATCCACCCACCCACCCAGCTGTCCATTAATCCATTATTTATCCATCTACTCCCTACCATCTACCTATCCATCCACCTGTCCTCCCATCCATTAATCCATATTTATCCACCCCTCACCCGTTCATCCATTCACCCGTCCATCCATTCATAATTTACCCTCCCATCTCTCCACCTGCCCCTCAAGCACTGGCTGCCCGCCCCCACCCAGTACCACTCATCCTCATTATGTATTGAGATTGCCCCTCTCTGCGACCACCCCTCTCTGCGGGCCCCTTGCCTGTGACTTCTCTGCCTTTGCTGTCCCCCAGGCCTCCCCTCCCTTGGTGGCTGGAGTGCCTTCTCTATGGCAGCACTTGTCTCCCAGCTGTTCATCTCCCATTGCCCTCAGAGACCGGCCCCCCAAGAAGGGCAGTGGCCAGGCCACCTCTGTTACCTGCGCTTTGGCCCTGGGAGCAGAGGGAGGCAGCCGGGGAGGTGCCCGGGGTGTCCAGGACATGTGGGATGAGATCAGGCCTCACTGCCCCCTGGTGGGAGGTCTGGGCCTAGGTGTCCCCAGAGCAGAGATGGGCTTCCCTTGGCCACCTGTCTTTCAGGGGTGCAAGTAAAAGCAAGAGAGGGAACTCTGTCCTTTGCCCCCTGCCCTGCCCTGTCTATGATTCAGGACCAGAAGAGGGTGGGAGAGTTGCGTGTGGGGCCAGGCAGCAAGCAGGGCCGTGTCCCGGAGGGGCCTGAGGGGCTGGACTCTGAGTGGAGTCCAGTAGCATGCACAGACGCTACCAGGGGCCCAGGCGGTGGGAAGGGCCTGTGAAGCCTAGGGGGGGGCTTGGCCCGGGGCTACTTTGACCCACCTGCCCCTGCAGGGCTCAGGCAAGCGAGTGGGAGTGTGTGCGACAGCATGTGCATGTGTAAGGAGTGTGCAAGAGTATTGTGCACGGTGAAAACCGAGTGTGAGTGTGTGTGGGAGAGCGTGTGCATGTGTCAGAGCATGTGCAAGAGTATTGTGTGCTGTGCAAACCGAGTGTGAGCGTGTGTGCATGTGTAATGAAGTGTGCAAGAGTGCTGTGCACTGTGCAAACCGAGTGTGAGTGTGTGGGAGACAGTGTGCATGTATCAGGGTGTGTGCAAGAGTCTTGTGCACTGTGCAAATTGAGTGTGTGTGAGAGAGCGTGTGCATGTGTCAGAGCATTTGCAAGAGTATTGTGCGCTGTCGAATCCGAGTGTGAGCATGTGGGAGAGAGTGTGCATGTATAACTGAGTGTGCAAGAGTGTTGTTCACTGTGCAAACTGAGTGTGAGTGTGTGGAAGAGTGTGTACGTGCAACTGAGTGTGAACACACACAGAAGTATTGCACCTGTGTGTGCAAAGTGTGTGGGTGGGAGAGTTACGGTTCCAGGTGTGTGCAAAGTGAGCACGTGGGAGAACTGTGCACAGTGTGTGGAAACGGCGTGAGGACGAGAGCACGGTGTGCGGCGTGTGCGCCCCGTGTGAGCGCGCGTGGAGCGCGTGGTGTGCCCATGTGAGGCGTGCCACACGCCGAGCGGCCCTGGAACCAGCCTCCCGCAGCACAGCCAGACGCCATCCCCCCAGGGCGTCTCGTGGCCCCCACACGCGTGCTTGCACACACACACACACACACTTGCACACGCGTGCCTGCGCGGGCTGCGGGGCGCGGGGACAGAAGCGCGGGCTGCTTTGGGCAACAGGAGTTTATTGAGGAGGGCCGGGCAGGGCGGCTCAGTAGCAGACGCCGTCGGCCTCCGCCATGATCACAGACACGTTGACGTGGGTGGGTTTACCCGCCAGGCGGTCGATGGTCTTCTGGGTGAAGTTCAGGGGCAGGCCCTCGTGGCCCACCATGCAGGAGAAGCTGTCGCCCCTCTTCCAGGTCTGGGCGTTCACGCGCAGCACGCTGGTCACGGCGAAGGTGCCGGCCTTGCGGGGCTCGGGCTCGGAGCTCCAGGTCATGAAGTCCTCGCGGGGCAGCTGCTGGTTCCCGTGGAGCCACAGCACCACCACGTCCTCGGGTTTGTAGCCCCGCACCAGGCACGTCAGCGTCACCAGCTCCTCCAGGCCCACCTCCTCCGACGGGGGCGGCAGCAGGTGCACCTGGGGCGGGATGGTGTTTCCTGCGGGAGAGAGAGGCGGCTCAGGCGCTGGGCGGGGAGGAGCCATGCCCAGGCACGCGGAGCACAGAGGGGGGCCCACCTTGGGGCTTGGAGATGGTGGCAGTCAGCGGTTTCTCGAGGTTGGGGTGATTGACTGTGCAGGAGAAGGTCTCCCCGCGGTTCCACAGGTCGGTGACGTCTGACAAGTAGCTGGACACGCTGAAGCAGCCACAGGAGTTCTCCTGGGCTTCCCCCTTGACGACCGTCATCCCGGACGAGGGTGACCAGGAGAAGGTGGCTTGCTCAGGGTTCCTGAGGCCGGTCAGCGTGCACGTGAGGTTGGCCTTGAAGCCAAGCAGGAGGTCCTCCAGGGCGGGCTTGTACAGGGTCACGCGTGGGTCACATACAGGAGGATCAATTACTGTAGTAGTTGGAGAAGGAGGTCACATTGAACAAGAGAGACTGTGCGTCAGCGCCCCTGCCAGCCCATCTGGCCCATGTCCTGCCCCTCCGGAGGACATGGCCTGAGGCCCTGCCCACCCGGGCTGCCTTCTTACTTGTGCAGGACATGTCCACCGACTGGACCTTGCCGCTATGCTCCACGTGACATGTCACTTTGTCTTCGTACTTGCCAGGGCCCAGCTGGCTGCTCATGGTGTACAGGCCGTTGGATCCGAACACGGGGGTGTAGTTCCTGACAGAGGCATCACTGGGGCTCCAGGTCACAGTGGCGGGCAAGGGTAAGAAGTCTCGGACGAGGCAGCCCAGGACCACAGGTTCGGAGGGATCACAGCACCCGGTGCTCAGCGGGAAGACGCTGGGGTTCTGCAGGGTGGCTGAACACAGGAGATGTGAGGGCGGGCTGACTCTGGGCCCCAAGACAGCCAACGCACTGCCCTCACCCGTGTGCGCCCCTGAGCACCAGCCTCCCGAGTCCAGCCAGGCTCGTGTCCACAGCTGACCCCACAAGCGTGGCCTCCACACAGGCCCAGCAAATGGGGCTTGGCACCCTCAGGCCATTGTCTGCTGACTGCCCAATGGCTGGTGCCCTCAGCTTTGCAGACAGGCTTTGCTTTTGGTCCCCAGTGCCCACCTCCAGGAGAACTGGCCACTGTCCACCCACTGTCCTGATGTCCACTCACACACCCAGATCCCTTTTCCGACCAGGGCAGCAGTTGCCTCCACGGTTTGACCAAGAACAGGTCAGTAACTCTGCCCGGACAGGGCTTCCAGGAAGCCTGACCCTGGGACTTCTGGTTCCTTCCACCAGGATGCAGTCACGGCACATGTGGTGATGCCCTGAGACCGGGGCAGCTGGGCCAGGGCTCAGGGTAGGGACACATCACAGGCCAGGCCCACCCCCAGTGCCTGCCCCCCACTCACCCCACCAGCTGCCTCTGCTCATCTGGATCAGCCCAGCTCAGCCCAACCTAGCTAGGCTCTACCCAATGAGTTCAGCAGAGCTCAGTTTACCCATTTCATCTCAGTTAGCCCAATTCAGCCCAGTTCAGCCCTGATCATCCCTGCTCAGCCAGCCCATACCTGCTCAGCCCAGCTCAGCCCTGCTCAGCACAGTTAGCTCTGATCATCCCTACTCATCCCTGCTCGGCACAGTTAGCTCAGCTCAGCCCTGCTCAGCCCTGCTCAGTCCATCTCAGCCCTGCTCAGCCCAGCTCAGCCCTGCTCAGCCCTACTCAGCTCAGCTCGACCCAGTTAGCTCAGCTCAGCCCTGCTCAGCCTATCTCAGCCCTGCTCAGCCCAGCACAGCCCTGCTCAGTCCAGTTAGCTCAGCTCAGCCCTGCACAGCCCTGCTTAGCCCTCCTCAGCTCAGCTCAGCCCTGTTCAGCCCAGTTAGCTCAGCTCAGCCCTGCTCAGCCCAGTTAGCTCAGGTCAGCCCTGCTCAGCCCTGCTCAGTCCATCTCAGCCCTGCTCAGCCCTGCTAAGTTCTGCTCGAACCAGTTAGCTCAGCTCATCCCTACTCATCCCTGCTCGACACAGTTAGCTCAGCTCAGCCCAGCTCAGCCCTGCTCAGCTCAGCTTGACCCAATTAGGTCAGCTCAGCCCTGCTCAGCCCAGTTAGCTTAGCTCAGCCCAGCTCAGCCCAGTTAGCTCAGCTCAGCCCTGCTCAGCCCAGTTTCCTCAGCACAGCCCAGCTCAGCCCAGTTAGCTCAGTTCAGCCCAGCTCAGCTCAGCTCAGCCCAGCTCAGCCCTGCTCAGCCCAGTTAGCTCAGCTCAGCCCTGCTCAGCCCAGTTAGCTCAGCTCAGCCCATCCCAGCTCAGCTCAGTCCAGCTGAGCTCTGCTCAGCCCAGTTAGCAGCTCAGCCCAGCTCAGCTCAGCCCAGCTCAGCCCTGCTAAGCCCAGTTAGCTCAGCTCAGCCCTGCTCAGCCCAGTTAGCTCAGCTCAGCCCAGCTCAGCTCAGCCCAGCTTAGCCCTGCTCAGCCCAGTTAGCTCAGTTCAGGCCAGCTCAGCTCAGCCCAGCTCAGCCCTGCTCAGCCCAGTTAGCTCAGCTCAGCCCTGCTCAGCCCAGTTAGCTCAGCTCAGCCCATTCCAGCTCAGCTCAGCCCAGTTAGCTGCTCAGCCCAGGTCAGCTCTGCTCAGCCCACCTCAGCCCTACTCAGCCCAGTTAGCTCAGCTCAGCCCAGCTCAGCCCTGCTCAGCCCAGTTAGCTCAGCTCAGCCCAGCTCCGCCCTGCTCAGCCCAGTTAGCTCAGCTCAGCCCTGCTCAGCTCAGCCCTGCTCAGCCCAGTTAGCTCAGCTCAGCCCTGCTCAGCCCAGCCCAGCTCAGCTCTGCTCAGCTCACCTCAGCCCTGCTCAGCCCAGTTAGCTCAGCTCAGCCCTGCTCAGCCCAGTTAGCTCAGCTCAGCCCAGCTCAGCCATGCTCAGCCCAGTTAGCTCAGCCCAGCCCAGCCCAGCTCAGCCCTGCTCAGCCCAGTTAGCTCAGCTCAGCCCTGCTCAGCCCTGCTCAGCCCAGTTAGCTCAGCTCAGCCCAGCTCAGCTCAGCCCAGCTCAGCCCTGCTCAGCCCAGTTAGCCCAGCTCAGCCCAGCTCAGCTCAGCCCAGCTCAGCCCTGCTCAGCCCAGTTAGCTCAGCTCAGCCCTGCTCAGCCCTGCTCAGCCCAGTTAGCTCAGCTCAGCCCAGCTCAGCCCTGCTCAGCCCAGTTAGCTCAGCTCAGCCCAGCTCAGCCCTGCTCAAGCCAGTTAGCTCAGCTCAGCCCAGCTCAGCCCTGCTCAGCTCTGCTCAGCCCAGTTAGCTCAACTCAGCCCAGCTCAGCCCTGCTCAGCCCAGTTAGCTCAGCTCAGCCCAGCTTAGCCCTGCTCAGCCCAGTTAGCTCAGCTCAGCCCAGCTCAGCTCAGCCCAGCTCAGCCCTGCTCAGCCCAGTTAGCTCAGCTTAGCCCTGCTCAGCCCTGCTAAGCCCAGTTAGCTCAGCTCAACCCAGCTCAGCCCTGCTCAGCCCAGTTAGCTCAGCTCACCCCAGCTCAGCCCTGCTCAGCCCAGTTAGCTCAGCTCAGCCCAGCTCAGCTCAGCCCAGCTCAGCCCTGCTCAGCCCAGTTAGCTCAGCTCAGCCCTGCTCAGCCCTGCTAAGCCCAGTTAGCTCAGCTCAACCCAGCTCAGCCCAGCTCAGCTCTGCTCAGCCCACCTTAGCCCTGCTCAGCCCAGTTAGCTCAGCTCAGCCCAGCTCAGCTCAGCCCAGCTCAGCCCTGCTCAGCCCAGTTAGCTCAGCTCAGCCCTGCTCAGCTCAGCCCAGCTCAGCCCTGCTCAGCCCAGTTAGCTCAGCTCAACCCAGCTCAGCCCTGCTCAGCCCAGTTAGCTCAGCTCAGCCCTGCTCAGCCCTGCTGAGCCCAGTTAGCTCAGCTCAGCCCAGCTCAGCCCTGCTCAGCCCTGCTGAGCCCAGTTAGCTCAGCTCAGCCCAGCTCAGCCCTGCTCAGCCCTGCTCAGCCCAGTTAGCTAAGCTCAGCCCTGCTCAGCCCTGCTCAGCCCAGTTAGCTCAGCTCAACCCAGCTCAGCCCTGCTCAGCCCAGTTAGCTCAGCTTAGCCCTGCTCAGTCCTGCTAAGCCCAGTTAGCTCAGCTCAACCCAGCTCAGCCCTGCTCAGCCCAGTTATCTCAGCTCAGCCCAGCTCAGCCCTGCTCAGCCCAGTTAGCTCAGCTCAGCCCAGCTCAGCTCAGCCCAGCTCAGCCCTGCTCAGCCCAGTTAGCTCAGCTCAGCCCTGCTCAGCCCTGCTAAGCCCAGTTAGCTCAGCTCAGCCCTGCTCAGCCCAGTTAGCTCAGCTCAACCCAGCTCAGCCCTGCTCAGCCCTGTTCAGCCCAGTTAGCTCAGCTCAGCTCAGCCCAGCTCAGCTCAGCCCAGCTCAACCCTGCTCAGCCCAGTTAGCTCAGCTCAGCCCAGCTCAGCTCAGCCCAGCTCAGCCCTGCTCAGCCCAGTTAGCTCAGCTCAGCCCTCCTCAGCTCAACCCTGCTCAGCCCAGTTATCTCAGTTCAGCCCAACTCAGCCCTGGTCACCCCTGCTCAGCCCAGCTCAGCGCTGCTCAGCCCAGTTAGCTCAGCTCATCCCAGCTCAGCCTGGTTAGTCCAGCTCAGCCCAGTCTGCCAGGTTCAGCCCAGTTCTGGCTAGATCAGCCTTGTTAATACTGACCAGCTCATTCCAGGACAATCTAATCCATCTGCGCTCAGGCCAGTGTAGTCTGCTCAGCCTGGGTCAGCCCAACTCAGCCTGACTCAACCCAGTTCTTCCTGGGTCAGCTCAGCAGCTGGTCCACCCCGGTCCTCTTCAGCCCAGTTCGGTCTGGCTAGTGCTGTGAAACCGACTTGTTCCGCCTGGCTCTGGTCACTCAGCTCACCCTGTCGATCCTGTGCTCTGCTCCCTGAAGCCAGTGCCCGGCTCTTCCCCGCGGGCAGATGGGGCCAGGAGAGCCGACACCCACCTGCGTGTGCTGGGGGTCCGGGTGCCCTGCAGGTCCGCCTGTCCTCAGCAGCCCCTGACCCACTCTGCGTGGTGCGACTGAAGCTGTGAGGGGCTCTCCAGGGAGGGACAGTGTCTGCCCACAGACGGGGTCCCTCGCCCACTTCCTGCCCGACAACGGCCTCAGACAGGCCGTCTGCTCTGTGGTCAGGCTGTGGCGGGGCAGGTGCATGTGGCCGGGGCTGTGGTCCTTGGGAACCTGTCTGGCTAGGTCATGCGGCCACCCATGGGTCTGGGCGGGGGCCCCTGGGGGCCACTGTGGTCAGGAATGTTAGTGTGTGACTGTGTCTCTGTGTGTGTCTGAGTGTGAATGTACCAGTGTAGCAGGGTGTGTGTCTGTGAGTGCGAGTTTGTGTGTGAGTGTGCATCCAAGTGTGTCTGAGTGTGCCACTGGGTCCGAGTGTGAATGTACCAGTGTACCAGGGTGTGTGTCTGTGAGTATGTTTGTATGAGAGAGTATGTCTCTGTGTGTCTGAGTGTGCCTCTGAGTCCAAGTGTGAATGTACAAGTGTGTGTGTTTGTGCGAGTGTGTATCCGAGTGTGCCTGAGTGTGAGTGCTGAGCCTGTGTGAGCAGGGGAGGGCAGAGGTGTGGTCTTGACTTCCAGATGTTCTTCCGGGATGAGCCCGTGTCTGCCCAGCCAGGCAGGTCATGGGCAGCAGGGTCACGGCTGGACTGCATCTGGTACCATGGCCCTGCCCCAGTGCCATCCCGTCTGTGGCCTTTCGGATGCCCCCTTCCCGCCTTGGCCCTGGGGTCCCCTCGGGTGTGGGGGACTGCTCACGGGGCACTCACTCTGTGCTGTGTTCTGGATCCCCCCAGAGACCCTCGCATCTGTGGGATCTGAAGGCCAGCATGGTGGGCACATAGGGACAGGGACTGTCCCGGGGTCCGAGAGATGCCCCTCCCTCTGTTCTCCCACAAGTCACCTCTCAGCTCCCGCGAGGTGGCAGGAACCCTCAGGCAGAGGATGTGGAAAGACCTTTACTTGGCCCCAAGGGAAGGGACAGGAGAGCAGGGTGGCAGGGCTGGGCCCGGGGGGTGGCACGGCCTGAGGGGCTGGACAGGAGGACTGGTGGGGCCTCTCAGGGGCCGCCCGGCTGGCTCCACCGGCTCTGAGGACACGGTGCTGAGGGGCCGTGTGGCGGGCTCTGCTGTCCAGGGCTGGTGCTTCCTCCCGGGCACTATGCTGCCGGCCACGGGATGTTGCTGTAGTCATGGGAGGTCTTGGGGGGCTCCTGTGCCCCCACCATCAAGGTCCGGTGCACCTGCGGCGGGGTGGGGACTCAGGGCTGCCCTCTGCGGGCACCCCTGTGCCCCCGCGGCCCTGTGCCCACCTTGCAGAGGGTGACGGCGGCACCGTAGCCGACGCTGAGCATGAAGAGGGTGATGAAGGCGAGGAGGCTGTTCCACAGCCCGGCCAGCTCCAGGCTCTCGGCCGCGTCCACGCACATGTCCTGCAGCACCAGCTCTGCGGGCACCGGCTGTCAGCCAGCCTGGGGGGGCTCCGGCCCTACCCGCCCCTGCCTGCCCCTGCGTCCCACCTCCCAGGACCTCAGCCTTGCTGGTCACCAGGCCGGCATTCCTGGGTCTTCCCCTCCTCCCCTGGCCATCTGGGCACCCCTGGTGTGGCAGGAACCCCCCGAAGGAGAGGGGGAGCGGGGCTGTGGGAGTCCACAGTCGCCCCACTGCCCCCACGGCCCCCATGTATGTCTGCGGAACCGGGGGCGGGCATGGTGGCTGGCTCTGTGGGATGAGGCATGCCATGGGCCATGTGGCCCTGCACTCGATGTGTGCATAAGTGTGCTCTGTGTCTGTCCACGCGCGGGCGTGCTTGTGTGTGCATGTGTGTATGCATGTCTGTGTGGAAACTCCTGTGTGTCAATATGTCACGTGTTTATGCATGTGCATATCTGAATATGTGCTAGTATTCATGGGGAGCTGGACATGCAGTGACCAAAAGGGACCTCTGGGGGAGAGTGTCCCATCTACCCTGACCCATGATGTGGGGGAAGGGCCGGGGAGGCTTGGATAGTGTGTGGGGGGCTAAGTGTGGGGCATGTATGGGGCAAGTATGGGGCCATGTGTGTGGGGCCATGTGTGTGTGTGTGGGGCCATGTGTGTGTGTGGGGGCATGGGTGTGTATGTGTATAGAGCCATGTGTGAGGGCATGTGTGTGTGGGGGGCCATGTGTGAGGGCATGTGTGTATGTGTGTGTGGGCCATGTGGGGGATGTGTGTGTGGGCATGTGTGGGGGGGCCATGTGAGGGACTGTAGGGGGGCATGTGTGTGGGGGGGCATGTGTGTATGTGGTCATGCGTGTGGCCATGTGTGGGGCAATGTGGGGCATGTGTGTTTGGGGGCCATCTGTGAGGGCATGTGTGTATGTGTGGCTGAGTGTGTGTGTCCATGTGTGAGGGCATGTATGTGTGTGGGGGGACCATTTTGGGGGAACATGTGTGTATGTGGCCATGTCTGGGGCAATGTGTGTGTGGGAGCCTTGTGTGAGGGCATATGTATGTGTGTGGGGCCATGTGGGGGACATATGTGTGTGTGTGGGGTCAGGTGGGAGGTATGTGTGTGTGTGGGGCATGCATGTATGTGGCCATGCATGTGGCTATGTGTGAGGGCATGTGTGGGGCAATGTGTGTGTGGCCATGTGTGAGGACATGTGTGTGGGTGGAGGGGCCATGTGGGGGATATGTGTGTGGGGGCATGTGTGTGGGGGCATGTGTGTGGGGGGGCATGTGTGAGGGCATGTGTGTATGAGGTCATGTGGGGGGCATGTGTGTGGGGGGGCATGTGTGTATGTGGCCATACGTGAGGCCATGTGTGGGGCAATGTGTGTGTGTGTGGCCGTGTGTGGGGACATGTGCGTGTGTGGGGGGCCATGCATGTGGGGCCGTGTGTGGGGGGGGCCATGCGTGTGGCTTCGTGTGTGGGGCTGCCTTGGGGTGCTCTGAGGGGCCATGTGCCCTAGCAGATGCCTGACCGAGGCAGGGCAGGTTGGTGGCCGTGTGTCGACAGGTGGAGGAGGTGCTTCTGGGAGCTGCTCCCTCTCCCTAGGCCCCTCGGGTGGCCGTGGGCCTGGGTGTGTCTGGCTGGACTTGGGGGGAGGCTGAGCATCGACCCAGGCTGGGCGTCAGGGGCCCGTCCCCAGGAGCCCCGAGAATGTGGCCAGGACGCAGGGCTCAGCGTGTTTATTGTCCCCGGGGAGGGTGGCAGCCCCGCGGCCGCTCATTTACCGCGGGCCTTGGACAGGGACCGGTCCAGCGTGCGGGGCTGGGGCAGCGCCTCGTGCACGGCCCGGCAGGAGAAGGTGGTGCCCTTCTCCCAGTCCTGCCGGGCCACTTCCAGGCGGCTGAAGACGAAGAAGCGGGTCCCGGCTCTGCTCATCGGCTGCGGCTGCGTGGTGGCCTGATGCTCCGCGCCCTCGTGGGCCTGGTCCCGCAGCCACAGCACCGAGATGTCCGCGGGGAAGAAGTTCTGGACCAGGCAGGTGAGGGTCACCTTGTTCGTGCTGGCCGCACCCTCATCTGGAGTCTTGAACACGTAGATCTCAGGGGCTGCCCGCTGGCCTGTGGACGGGCGAGGTCAGCCCCACTCAGCCCCACTCTGCCCAGTCTGGCCCTCCGCCTGGCCTGCCCTCGGCCCGGCCCCGCCCACTCCCTGCCCCGCCCACAAACCGTTTCGGCCCCGCCCTCGCCCCGCCCAACCCCCTTGCCGACACCCCCGCCCAGCCTTGCCCTCGCCCAGGTCCCGCCCAGACCCCTCCCCAGCCCTGCCCTGCCCTGCCTTACCGGCTCGCATCCCGCCCTGCGCCTCGCCCCCTCCTCATGCCCTGTCCCCCTCGCACTGCCTTGTCCCACCCACCCCTGCCAACGTCCCACGCCCAGCCCCACCTTCACCCCGCCCCTGTCCGACCCACCTTGCCATCGCCCCGCCCACCTCGCCCTCGCCCCGCCCACTTTGCCCTCGCCCCGCCCTCGCCCCGCCCACCCGCTCACCCCGGGTCTTGGTGAGGGAGCGCACGATCTTCTTGGGCAGGTCGGGATGCTCCAGCACGCACTGGAATGTCTCGCCCTCCACCCAGTCCTCGGTGAGCACGGCCAGGGTGGACGTGGCACTCAGGGTGCCATTGTGGTGCCGCTTCGTGAATGTTGTGGCTTTTCCGGTGGAGGTTTTGCCCCCCTGCAGCCACCTGAGGCTCATGCCGTCCTCCCGGGCCAGGTCCACCACCAGGCACGTGAGCTTGGGCGCCTTCTGCACGTACAGCTCGACAGGGCTGGGCGGGCTCAGGTAGACGCGCACGCCGCGGGGCTCAGGGTCTGGGGGTTGCAAGGTCAGCGTGAGCCCCCGGGGAGCCTGGGGGCCAGGCGGGCCGGCAGGGCGGGCGGGCAGTAGGGGCGTACCTGAGCACTTGCGGGCGTGCTCCTCAAAGTTGTGGCCTTCGTAGGTGGCCCGGCAGGTGTAGGTCCTCTCCGAGACCCACTGGCCCTGGGTGATGTTTACCTCGCTGTAGGTGGAGGACAGCCCGTCCTCCTGCTTCAGGGTGCCCACGTAGGGGGCTATGCTGTTGGACTCTTCCTCGTCCACCAGCCAGGTGACGCTGACGTTTTCGGCAGGGACGCCCAGGATGAGGCACAGGAGCTGGATGGGGGTGCTGGTGTCGCCGTTGGGGTTGCAGGAGGAGTGGAAGAGCTTCACGGTGGGGCGGGGGGCGTTATTGCGGCAAGCTGGGTGGAGAGGGGGAGGTTGGCTCCAGAGGCCCCCAGACTTACGCCCGCACCTGGACGAGCCCCCGGCTGCGCTGCTCACCTGAGAAGGTCCTGTTGGAGGGTGGGGACGCCCCAATGCGCCACGCTGCAGGTGAAGGTCCCCGAGGCCTGTGCCCCCGGGACTCTCAGCTGGCTGACGGTGGTGTAGAGGCCAGAGGAGTGCAGGGAGGCGGGGAGGTTGACCACGCTGCTCTGCAGGGCACCTGTGTCCCAGGTCACGGCCACAGGCTCCGGGAAGAAGTCGGTGACCAGGCAGCCGAGCACCACGGCCGAGGCGGCAGCAGCATCTTTGCAGCAGGAAGCCAAGGGGAAGACGGATGGGGCCTTGCTGGACACTGGGGCAAGGACAGTGAGTGTGAACGTGGGCACCACCTGGCATCTGCAGCCCAGCCTTGGCCCTGGCCTCTCCCTTCCTGGCCCCTGTCTGGGGCACTGGACCCTTTATGGATCTGGGCATCTTACTCCCCTCTGATGCTGCTGAGTCCCTGCGTGCCTGAGGTTCCGTGACGGGCCCAGAGCAGCCTGGGCCAGCAGCCCACCTCGTCCCCGCTGGGATCAGGAAGCGCCTGGGGTGCTGGGGGTCACTGCCCTCCTGTGGCCCCCACTGGGTCAGGGGCCCCAGAACCCCCAAGCCCCCGGGCTCCCCCTTTCCACCCCAGGCTGGGGGCAGAGGTCCCTTCTGGGCCCTCAGTGCGCCTGCAGCTACCCCGCCCCAGGACCTGTCCCTGCTGGGGCTCAACTGCGCAGCCCCCATGCACACCCCTCTATGGGTTAGCCTGGTGCTGCCCCTTATTGCTTCTGTCAAGGGGCTGACATCTACACCCACACAAGGGTCCAGAACCCCATGAAATCGCTCCTCAACCCTCCTCACGTGAGGCGGCCTTCACACCACATTGGGCTCCTTGGTCTGAGATTAACAAGCTTGATTCCTC